AACAATTTATGAAGTTTTAGATCCATGGAGGAAAAAAAAAAAAAAAAAACAAGAATAATTATCAATTTCAGCAAATACTTATCTTGATTCCGGTATTTTCCATTGAAGAAATGTAAAAGATACCAGGACACATAAGTTATTAATGACATTCCTTACTTTGGTTGTAATTTCCCAATTTATTTTCTTTATCTAAAGAACAAATATGAGTGCCAATTTTCTCTCCACTATCAGTCTTTTCAATAAAATGCTAAAACATTCATTTGATCACAACGCACTACGGCAACACAGTATGCTTCCTTTCATATGTCTCCTCAGCAACTATAACCTTTGTAACAACTCTCAAACCTGAGAACACTTTTTCCCTTTCTTTTCTCAAATTTGAAAATAACTTTCTATGTAATTCCTTTACTAATAAAATTCAACAAGACTTCAATCTACTAAATTTTATAACAAATCACACCAGTATTTTAAACAATGTGTATAGTTACTATATCCATTCTCTGATACTGTAATACTGCTTGCAATTCTTACTAGTACTTGGAATTTGTTTTCCTTTAATGAAGATACCAAGTTTGTTAAAATTATAAACTCTTAAAAATATAGAATAATTCCCTAACTATATTGTTTTAGTGTCAAAGAAAAATTATTTCCAATTTATCAAGATTTTACACAACTTAGAAAATCAGCAAGAAATAATTTTGAGCTTTCAAACCACTCCAGCTTAACTAAGTTAACTCATCACCAATTATTACAAGCTCCAAAACAAGTAAGTAATGTATTAAAGTATCAAGCCCTTTTAATGTATCAAAATTTCAGATAAGAACTTAAAAACTGTCATTATTGAGGCAAGTAAAAAATTCAATAACTTAAGGAATTAACTATTTTTCATCACAAATAATAGAATAAAACAAGTTGAAAGAAAACTAATTTTTCCTTATTCTGATTTTTTTTGCTACACCAAAAAAATCTTACAATTAGCCTGTTTTGATTGGTACTAATAAAAACTAAAGCTTGAAATTCTACTGCTATAAACTATTGTGCTGTTACACTAAATAACACCATAGTGTCAACTTAATTCTCTCAACTACTACTCCACATAAAAACAGAAGGTCATGGCAGTTTTGAAGAAACTGGTTAAGTTTAAAATATTTTTTTAAATAAAAAGTTGTAAAATAGTTATTAAACTGAATGTTAGGTTTAATTAGTGACCAAGGTTAAACATATGAGCATTCTATCCAATATTTGATTCCAACATTTCTCCACAAAGCATGAGTGCTCTGAACATTTAGAGATAGATATTTGTTTAAGTTTCTTTTTTATTTTTTTGAGAGAGAGGTTTATACTATAGGGCATGTGCGCTCGGCAGACAGACAGAGAGAGACATAGAGACAGAAAGTGAGAAATCACCCCCCAGAGGGGATGGTCACGCCGCAATCCCTTCTCCTCCATTCTCCTTTCGGGATCTTGGGCACGCACGCACACGCGCCCGACGTGAGTTTTAAGCCACCGGGTCCGGGACGTGAACCGCGGTCGACTACGTGGGAGTCCAGCGACATAGCCATTACACTAAGTGCTGGTTCCCTAAGTTTCTAATTTAGGCATAAAACTAGAGCTGATAATGATTCAACTACTTGAACATTATAACTATTATTTTACATAAGAAGCAGGAGTATTAGAACCGTCTTTTAATGTATACCACTGACCACTACAAAACTAAGATAAACCAAGTAAGAATCAAATTAAATAATAACTATCACTTGGCCCAGCCATGGTGGCACAGACACTGGGGATGCTGCTGAGTGATACTGGATGCTACCTGAGAGGGCTCTGGGATCAAAGCCCAGATCTACCTCAAAACACAGAGCACCCCAGTGATCTGGGCAGGCTGCAAAACTGAGGGAAAGACCACAATGTAACGATGTTGTCAAGAGTGTTCCTCCCTCTCTCTGTCTTCTCTCTCACAGGACTGATAGGTTAAAAAAAAAGCTTTGAAAACCAACTACATATGTGAAAATAAGAAGGCACTCAATAAAAGTGCAAATGAGTCATACATATCTAGCAGTTTCTTACTGTTTTTCAAACATAAACTACCTGCCTACTTAAGGTAAAGTGTGAAACAAATAGAATTTCCTTGAAGAAATTGATATATGTAGTTGGCTATATATAGCAACTATAAGCTTCTCCATTTAAAATATACTTATTAATCCTAATGTCAAGGGCAAGGCTGTGGATAGGAGAAATAGACTTTATCTTCTGAACACACTGAAGTGTTGAACACTGTCTAGAACACCTCAAGACAAATAATGAAACTAATATAAAAATCAAAAGTGGAGAAAAGAGTTGAAGTTAAAGTAGATGTTAGAAAAAACTGAGAGATTACTCCATTTTAAATTCTTTTCTTCCATTTTGAAACTCTTTACCTGAGCAAAGCAGTATAAGAGAAATTAGTTACTGCTCACTTATTTAAAATAACAGCTCAAACTTTCGAATTTACCCACATCACCTGGTATAGAAACGATGGAAAAGTGCTCTGTGAGTACACTGATCAACACTTCAATGATCTTTCATTAGTAAGCTCCTAGACCAGACATCCAATCTCTTATACTTGTGTCATTTCCTACTTCTCAGACTTCTAGACTCCTGCTCAGTACAGGCCACCATCAACAAAACACAGAAATGGCAAATAACATGATGCCAAGCATCTACCATATTGACTTTTTCTCTAGGTCTCAGATTCTTTTTATCTCCAAATATCAGAGCTTTATTTTTTTCTTTGTTTCTTTATCAATAAATTAAGGCCTAGATTTGCTGGGAAAAACCCAAGCAACTCCAAGGGTCTGCAGTGTTTTGATAAATATAGCTATTTACAAGATATATATAAAAAATTAAGCTTCTGTAATGACATAATTTACTTTTGGGGTTAAAAGATGAAAATAAAACTCTAAGAATATGTTTAAATACTCTGGAGTAAATGTTCATAAATGCCTCAAACCTGAGGTAGATTCTAACGTAGATTAAGTAAAACAATCAACTAGGTATCCATAATATAAAACTTTATTAATAAAAGCTGCAACTATACAGTTTATAACTTGGGGAACGGAACACAGCTCTAAGGAACTCTTTCAGAAAATATTCCTCCAGAAAACCCTTAGATCTCCTCATAGTTCATGATTTTAGTTTTAGACCTCTAAAAACACACAGGCACACACACCTCCATACCGCTGCCATTTTCTAGCAACTGTTCTGAGTGGACAATGTGTGAATGTGGAAGTCCCTGCTCTAGCAGAGAAGGGCAACAGTATCTAGGAACCAGGGCAGAATCCGGGGCAGCAGTACAGGCAGCAGGCACAAGGTAATCAAATCTTCATTGAGCCAAGGCACCCTCTCTAAGGAGAACAAACTGTAACAACTGATCTGACACTCCCATTTTCTTTAGGCCCAACATTGAAGTGAATGACAGTATAACTTCTAGACAAAAGATTAACATAAAAACAAATACAAACAATTTTTTTAGGGTGAGAGAGAGAGCAAGATCGTGAACTCACAGTCTCAAACCTATCTATCTATCTATCTATCTATCTATCTAGAGAGAGAGAGATTTTTACTGTAGGGTGCGTACACTCGCCAGAGAGACAGAAAGCAAGAGGAAGATGGCCATGCCGCAATATTTTCTCTTTCATTCTCCTCTTGGGATCTTGGGCATGCATGCAAACGTGCTGGGAGTGAGTTTTAAGCTCTCAGGTCCGGGACTCAAACCATGGTCAACTACGTGGGAATCCAGCAACGTAACCGCTATGCCATCTGCTGGTCCCTAATATAAACATTTCTAAAAAATCAAATTTTAGAAAGATCCTTAGTATATGCTTTAGAATGATTTGATTTAGAGATCATTCAGTGTGGTTTTAAGTTACTGACATGGATAAATCTTCCTGTAAGGCAATTAATTATAGTAGTCACCATGTTGTGGGTCACTGAAGAAAATGTTGTCAAGAATGTGGATCCAACAGACAAAGAAAATAATAAATTATGTAAAAGAAACAATTCCTGCTTTAGTCTTTCAGAATAATTAAAGATAACAGCTAAACAGTTAAAAATTGACATAAAAATAGTGGGAAAAAAAAGGAAAGACAGACCAGAAGGTATTTAAAACACAACTTAAACTCAAATACTCTTTAAAACAAAACAAAACAAAATCACTATCATAAATTTACATAAAGTTCTAATATCACAATTAAACCTAAGTGACAAATTAAAATTAATTAATTGAGGGACCAGCAGTTAGCGTAATGGCTATGTCGCTGGACTCCCACGTAGTTGGCCGCGGTTCGAGTCCCGGACCTGGTGGCTTAAACTCATGCCGGGCGCATGTGTGTGCGTGCCCAAGATCCCAAGAGGAGAAAGGAGGAGAAGGGATTGCACGGTGGCCATCCCCCCCGGGGGGTGATTTCTCGCTTCCTGTCTGTCTCCTTCTGGCGAGCGCACACACCCTATAGCAAAATCCTCTCCAAAAACGAAAAAAAAAAAAAATCAATTAATTGAATTTACTTTAAAGTAATTCTTCTCTCTACTCCTTTGTTTCTACCTATGCCCCTTAAAATCAACAAACTATATGAATAAAAGAATAAAATTAAGTTTCATCTCAATCATTCACCAGTGGCAAATAAATAATGGTAGACACAGGATTCCTTCTAATAATGTGAATAACAGAAAGGATAACCACACTTTCAGATAATAATAAGACACATGAACCCTAGTAGCTGCAGGAAGTGACTTATATAAATGTTAAGAGAGAATTAAGTTGAACTTTAAAATGTAAAAATTGTATCAAATCATCAATACAGGCACACTAGAACTAACGCCTCTATTTTTTATTTATAGAATCCACAACCAAAAATGGTCTTTAAAAAATCCACTACATCACTCCTCAACTTTAAAATTTAAGAAAATACTGCAGAATTCTGTCATATGCTTGTTCCAATGTATGTTAACTTTCATTCAAA